TGAAAGATTACAAAAATTAGGTACTTCTAACTCAAATCTATTACTTCGAACTTGTTTCCCCAGCAGTGATGCAGTGAAGAAAAAAATCTTTATCCTGTTTTTAACACACATTTTATCTATTTAGCGATAACCATTGAATTATTAGTTACAATGAATGAGGAAATTTATATATGACTAACAGATAAAGAAAGTTTAAAATCAAATGATAGTAATTAGAATAACTACTTTTCCTTTCTTGCAACTTGCGTCTTTTGCAATTTGTGCTTCAACACCCAGACAGATTAATTCTGGTGGAACACTCGATATTATATTGACATTTTACCCAACGAATGTTTCATCTGATAAAGAACTGTCTTTCCATCTGATAAAAAAAGGAAGACAAACGGATATCGGTATCTTCCCGAAAGCGCAGAAATTATCTCTTGCTAGAAGAATAAAGAACAGAAAACTTTATTAATAACAAAATACACTCGTCTGCTTTTGTAATGCTTGGGCATGCGCACTTTTGTTCCCGATGAATCAAGCTTAATTGAACTTCCTTGACCTCATTTAGGACTGAGATATCGACATCTGGCAGAGATCCAAAGCTTTACTGTGAAATCGACATCGATACGAATTAGGTGTCTTTTTCATCAATTTCATTTTCTCCAATTTTGTGTTTCACAACAAATCTTGATTATTTTCGACGCAGCTGTTTTCTCAAGGTTGCGCTTAAGATAGAAAAAAAAGTTCTAAATTCAGTCTCATTTGTTTCCGGGCAAGTGAGCTTTCTATCGTTGTTGGCCACATGGGAACGCATTGTCACACGTCTATACTAAATATAACTTCACAGAAAGGACTGAGGTATTAAAATATGTTTTACAGCCAGAAAATAAAATGCTTTATCATGCTTTATCAACAAAAATATTCTCAATATTTTTTTCGATGTGTACACTTTTTTTTCTTTTCATTTTTTTCCTTACCTAACATGGATGGTGATTTAATTACGAAAGTAACGGTACATCAAACCAGTTTAAGATAAATCATAAAAAATTCCAGCTAGTCAATCACCGAGAACTCATTGCAAATCTTTAAAAGAAAATTGTCAAAAAGCCATTGATTGCTTATTTTTATGATCTATCTTGTCGATATGCAGTTACAAAGACATTGAATGCTTATTATTATAATCCTGTCCAATTTTGTTCAAAGCCTACTGAGGGCTTATTGTTGGGATCCTGAGAAATTCTTGTTACAAAGCTATTGTAGGCTATTACGGTAAAGAACATTTTTTACCTTTACGGTTTTGAAACCGTTTACAGCTGATATGGTTATAAAACTATAAATACGGAACTATATGAAAAGACTCTAAGGTTGTAATATGACATGGACTATATGACTATGATATGGAGATTATGATCCATCTGCATGAAGTTAATTAGTGCAGATACGTCATTTCAAAACCGAATAATTTTCCTAAATATGCACAAGTTCATGCATTCTAAACGAAATTCAAAAGTAAATAAACAAAAAAAATAATAAAACGAAATAATTTTTGACATTATTATTATTTATTGACTAGTATTTTTTAGTTTTAAAATATAATAAAAGTAATACACTAAACTGAATAAATTCTACTAAATAGTCACTTCTCGTTTCGGAAAACCAAATATCAAATCAGATTATTTTCCAGCTCTACCTTATTTCAAGGAACTTTTAGTACACTGAAAAAAATGCGCCTCTCTAGAAATAAAAATACATCTAGAACTGTAATGGATAACAAATGTTCACTTTTGAAATAAAACTAAGTTTGAATAAATACTAAAAATGTATGCATCACATTTTATCTAAATGTATCATAACCTTCGGATACGTACTTATAAGAACCTTTCCTTAAAAAAAAACAAATTTCATATGCAAAATAATAAATTTTCAGGAATAAAAATATTAAATATAAAACCGAATACAGCCTCATATGGTTTAAAATATAATTTAAACTTACGGATATCAAGAAAAATCTCTAAGACTGTTGGTTATCAGCAATTTTGTATTTTATTTCTGAAGAAAAAAAACTAAATTGATTTGACATTTAAAAAGGACACATGATAGATGGATTCGAAATGACTACAGATATGGAGAATGCTTTTTTCCTCCATAAACTCACGATACGTGAATTTTCTTTTTATTTTATTCCAATGCATCGATCTAATGTTGCACGCAAAAGCTGCATTTGCACAGTTGCACAAAAAAATATTTAAAAATTATCTGGGCATTATATGAAAGGAAAATAACGCCCATGTTTGATAAATATATATAATTACGAAGTATATTTTAAGGCTAAGTGTATCGAAAGCATTTTACATGCATAAATTTGAAGTTACAATATTTATAATACAGCATTTTTCCAATTTATTCATCGATCATGAACTTTTTAATAAAATAATCCTAAATTTAGAATAAATTATTGCGTTATTATTAGGTTGACTATAAAAAATTTATTTCATGTGCTAGGCCAAAATTTGTTTAAGAAGTTTTCTTTGGTGTTTAAAATGGCAAATAATATTTAACATTATATTGTAAAAAGAAAAGTCCCTCAAAATTACCATAAATAACTAAAATACAATAACTAAATCTAGTTTAAATACTGATAAATAGAAAAAAAATGGTAGAGCATGGTTTGAAGTTATCTATCATTAAATCAAAATAGAAAACACTTGAGAAATAAATGTACATGCGTATCTGTGAAGTTGTAGAAAAATAGATATTACAAGTTAGCAAGGACATTAAATTTAAAGATTTAAAATCCTAATTTTTTCATAATAATTTTGGAGAATTCGTGAGAAAAATTCTAGTATAATTTTAGAGAAGAAAATTGCTGAAAGAATATTAAATGTAAGTGTTATAAAAGTGTAATAAATGTATATGTCGACTTTCAAAATTTAATCAATTATCTTGCTCGTTTAAAAATGTCATTTGTCAAATATTTTCTAGGGTCAGTTAATTTCAAAATATTTGATATTTTACATAAAAATTATGCTCACATAATTGATGCGTTATAGATCTAGGTGATTTTATAACAACAAATTAAATCTTTAGACAAAGGAATACCTTTAATATATACCGAGAGGAATCACTTTTTATTTGAAGAAATTTATATATATATATATATATATATATATATATATATACGGTTAATAATANAAGATATTATATATATTAAAACTGAAAAACTTCTCACATGTATTTACTTCTATCTTTTCAAATACTACATATAGCGGCGAAATTCGCTATTTATTTCTTTACGAATGCATTTTACTGTGCTTCTGACTGCCTCAGGGTTGAGGATGCGGAAAAATATCAGACCGAAAAGAGTGTTTTTCCATTTTAAATTAGAATTTTTTTTTACAAAATTTATGTTGCTCATAATCTACTATTTTATTGCTAAAAGAAATTCATCGTCTCCAAGGAAGAAAATATTTGCTAGCCCATTTGAAGAGAAATATAGTTGTAATTATGCTCTTAGGGTATAAAAGAAGATTACGTTGTTGGCTTGCGAGATATTATTAAAGAATAGTATTTATAACTTTTTTTTAAACTATGTATGAGTTACGTTAATTAGTTTTTTTTAATGAAAATTACCTAAGAAAATACACCGATTTATCTCTAAGAAATGACTTTATTATTATTAAAATATAATGTTATTATTTCTCAGACTCTATTTTTTTAAGGGGGAGATTTATTTTAATTAGATTTATTTTAATTAGAAATAAATTTTTTAAATAAAAAAAAGTTTTGTTTATATATAGTACTAAATACTCTCAATACATTTTCCTGCATTCAAACCAAAATATATAAAACAATATTTTTAGTCTCTTTCTATTGCGTTGGTTTATAACATCATATATATTTAATAATTTATTTAATTAAAAATATAAATATATATTTTATGATATAATATTCATACCAAATAATTTTTTATACGTATAATATTAATTATTATTGTAATATATCATTATAAATGTATATACCTCCGATTCACCTTTATTGAAATACTATTTATAGAATTTTATTTTAATGTTTACTCTTGGCCTTCGACAAAGTTTGATAATCTACGACATTAAGGTTTTCCAGACTAATTTAAGGTTTCCTACGGTTTTAAGGTTTTGTGATGTTTTATTCTTTAGAGAACTAGCTTTCGAACTCATATATGTTAATTTCTCTCTTACTTTATTTCACTTACTTTTACAATAGTCAATATTTAAAAAAATTTGATTTTGATTATATTTGGATTTTATACACGACTTATATTAGGATGAGATTTGATAAATATTGCGTCTTATCTTATTATTCACTGTTTGATGAAAAATGTGTGCTTACTTTGGTGCTTCAGGTGATCGGATGTCAGTTTCAATATGTGTTGAGTACGGCAAGAAATATACCCTATTTCTCCCACTCCTATATTTTATTTAACTAAATTCTTAAAAGAAATACAAAATTTTCTACAGATTTCTAAACATAAACAAGAGTTCTATCTTACAAGTTAAAAGTTATTGAAGACATAAGAAAACGCTTTTACCTAATTCTCCATAATACAAAATTTATCTGATTATTATGCATTCGTACTGATTCATGGAATAAAACTCCTCTTACGTTTAAATTTCTAATGATTATTAAAAATCGTTAAATTTTAGTGGCACTGTATTCATACATTTAACGATAAATGTTAAAATTTTTAAGCACAATTATAGAAATTATCTACTAATATTATTAGTTAATTTTATGAAAACGATCTTTGTTCCAAACATTTTATAATTGTCTCGTAGAAAAGCATCAAATATACATTTTAAATTAAATACACGTTGTGAAAAACAAGACAAGCTAAATTGCTGAAAATGCTAAGTTGTTTCGAAGTAAAATTTCAATCATAATTTTAGTACTGAGCAGTTAATCATTGACTGAATGTAGAACTATGTAAAATATCAAGAAAAAGTAGAATGTTTAAAGCAGATTACTTTTATTTACAGGTAACTTTATTTGACACCCTAAAGAAAATCAACTTTAAAATGTTTATGTCTCTACATTCTGTAAGCATTTCTATCTCTGAAAAAAAATCATTTTAAAATCCAATGAGATAAAGGAACTACATCATCAGAAAAAAAAATTCAACTGATTGTCGATGACAATAGTTAAATGCAAGAAAGAATGATACCGATGTAAAAAAGAAGGTAAGTTTAATTTATTCTTATTCAGTTTTCTGTAACAGAAACAATAGCTCCATGTATTACATCTGCATATATAAATATCAATAAATGTCACAAAAAAGTTTTTAAGCAAGTAAAATTACATGCAGTGTTTAAAAGATATATACAGCATGATAAATATTCAAGAATTCATTTTGTAATTATATTCAAAAATTGAAATTTATCAATACTTAAAACAATGATAAACAAAATACGTAATAATAATGAAACTTGTTAATAAAACAGTGTCACTTTAACCTAAATTTATATATTGTGTGCATTACCTAAAAAAGTTTTTTTTCATGAAAAAAATGACCTTAAGGAACATATAGACCAATAAAAAGAATAAAAACATTCGCAAACTAATTTACTGAGAAGACGTTGTCTTAAGTATTCTGCTGAATTGACAATGCCCTAAAGCACTTAATTTCGTGTGCCAAAACTCCTTCACTCGTTTAGAGTGCCATCTTTTCCAGCTCCAGTTTTTCCCAATTCTTTTGAAAATCTTTTTTTTTTGGGAGGGGGAAACTCTGTTGTTTTCAGATCATTCAGATGAGGGTTATTAAGAGATTTGGGAAAGTCTCACGAAACTACTTTCTTTCGGCTGATTAGCTGAGGTTTGTCTGAATACTGTTGCCATGCGAGTTTCTCAAACGTTACTAGTATTGAGTTAAAGTGATACGAGTAGTGAGCTCAAATGTGTAAATATTTTAGAAGATATAATGGAAATAGTGCTTCTGACCATTTTTTTACGAAAACTGAATATTTTTTATATTAAAAAAATATAATATTTAACTGAAAAAACTAATTTCTTTAACTCATAGAACTGTACCGGAGAGTTTTCTGAATAAATTGCTTATAACTATAAAAGTAATTATAAATAAAAAAAGCATGGTTCACAGAGAAAAAAAATCTGTTAAAATTACCATAATGTTTTGTAATGATATTCCTGTTGAAAAAACTCATAATTCTAGTTAATAAATCCAAAATACACTGTTTTTTAAACCATTCATTTGGTAATTTTTCCGTTCATATAACGATTTATCGGAAATTCTATATATACAGTAAATATTTTTTTACTCTAAATTCTAGTAAATATTTTAGAAGATATAATGTAAATGGTGCTTTTGACTGTTTTTTTTTTAATGAAAACTGAATATTTTTTATACTAAAAAAATATAATAGTTAATAGGAAAAACTAATTTCTTTAACTCATAGAACTATACCGGAGAGTTTTCGGAATAAATTATTTATGACTATGAAAATAATTATAAATAAAAAAAAACTTTTTTGTTCAAATGTGCGCAATCGCTCACAAAGAAAAAAAACCTGTTAAAATAACCATAATGTTTTGTAATGATATTCCTGTTGAAAAAAATCATAATTCTAGTTAATGAAGCCAAAATACATTGTTCCTTAAACCATTCATTTGGTAATTTTCCCGTTCATATAACGGTTTATCGGAAATTCTGGTTTTTAAAAATTACAGTTTGTATTACTACAAGGTCAGTAAAAAATACAAAACAATTTGAAAAGTGAATTCAACCTAATTAATGGTTTCCATGCCTGTCTAAGATATCAGGATAAAATTACTGAATTCTACTACATTTTCCCAGTTTTTTCACAGATTATGAAACTAAATTTCATTGTTAATTTTACCAAAATCATTACCAAACCTCTGTAGAAATTACCGAAGTTTTTGCTGTTCCCGCAAAGCCAAAAATACTGTAGATTTTACCGTATTTCGGTAGTTTCGATTATACCTTTTTCTTCTGTGTTTGGACAAAGCTGGTGTGCAATATACACGCTAAAAATTGTTTACTGTATTTCATTTACCTTTGTTCAAAAGTGAGTAACTCATGTCGGATGTAAATGCATATTTTATGCTCTTCTCCGTATTCTGCATGTCATAAAGATACTTTTAGCTCGGTTTAGCTTTCATTCTGCTCACCTCATATTTTTTTTTATAATTTTAGATGTCTTACATACGATCCAATCATTGTGCGTTTGAAAGACGAAATAAAATAAATAATTTTCAAAATGGCTGCAAAAAGAACTTTTAAAATAGAGTTCTGCTAATTCATCTATTTGGGTCATTTCAGTACTTGCAATATAAGGTTTTAATTTTCAATTAAATAAACTAAAGGTCTTATAATATTAGTAAGTTAACGTAGTTTTATCTTCGTATTGCATTAATAAAATGCGTTTTAATTTAAAAAATTTAAATTAATTAGATTAAAAAAACTTGCTTTGAGTTTCGGGATGCTTTGACCAGTTCTATCATGAAGAACTCTGTCATAAGAAAGTATTTCAATAAAGCGAGTAAAAACTACAGTTTCTAGCTAAACTTTAATAATTAAAAAATAAGGGGAAATTATTTATTTGCAAGCTTACATATTTAGTGGGCCTTTGAATGGTTGTAAGCCGTATTTAATGAAAAACAAATTGATTAATCATAGAAACATTTTCAACAGAGTTATTAGTTTCTTAAATCAAAGTATACTTTAAACAAATTTAGCTTTGTCCTAAAATATGCATATGATAAATACGAAAAATTGAAATAATAAATACAATAATTTAAATATTTTCCAAAAATTATGAATAGAAGTGAAATTTTTATGTAAAATCAGCAAACTCAAGATTTAAATTTCCTTTAATAATAATTTTATTTCACATTAAACTTCAGATCAATTAATGAGAGAGATAATTAAGGTGTATTTTCAATAAACTGAATAAATTAATGTAGCATTCTCGGTAAAGTTTTTATTAAACGTAAACAGTAAGAAAAAACACAATTTTTTAAATGAATAGAAAGCACAAATTGGAAATTAATTACTTTGCCATAAAGAAAACGAAAAAAAAAATGTTCGAACGAAAACACGAAGAAAAAACTATTTTTCAATAAATAACACGTTTGAATTTCAGAAGTGTCAAAGTTTGACAACACTCGATAAAATTAAACCGAAAGGTAGTTGCGAAAAAACTTGACACACCAGGTGTTAAAAGTGGCAACACTATTAAATTCCCATTCATCGTGGAGCAGCTTAATGGAGCGTGATTTATGAAATAAAAAATAAAATGAATTACGGCTTTGGTCCTAAAAATTTTTGTAAAGGTAAACGAAACCTTTGGCTCTAAAGTATTAGACTTGAAACCGTTTTAAACAATCTTAAATTTAGAAACTTTGAGTCGCTGTTTTCACGATATATAATTATACAATTTGATTTCATAAAGCATAATTTTTATAAAATGATTATCTTTAATTTTTCTTATTATCTCTCAAGTGAAAAATTTATAAAAAGCTTATTTCTAAAAATTTTATAATTTTTTATATTTTTAATTGTGGATTTCATTAAGTTAAATGATTTACACTGAAATAGGAAAATTTTCGTTCCGTACAAAATGTATTTATAGCATCTGAAATGTTTATTAGAAATTGATTCTATGGGTTTATTTTAAAATGATTTTAAAAATAGATTAGTTAATTAATTGATTTTTTATTAGATTCATTAAATTGATTAATTTTATTGATTAAATTAATTTTAAATATGCTTTTCTATAAATATTTATAGATTTGTTGAATCCTTATGTCAAAGATATGCATTCGAGGATTTTAATTAGTTTCTGTAGATAATGTTTATTTATAAGTGATTTGATATACTCTGCAGTTTGATAAGAGATTTGTTGTTTAAAATACATTACTTAAACTGATTGCAAAACACTCGAGATTTCGTAAGATGATTATATGCATTAATTGAGATGTCAATTTGCTATTGTAAATATCAGGTTAATATTTCTACCTATTTTAACATTCTGGTGAAAAACATTTACCGAAAATTAAAAATTCTGCATTTATTTTGAATGATTTGTGATATATTTTAATGCTGTTTACCACATTGAAAACGTATTTTTTAATTTTATATTATTTTTCATCTTTAAAAAATGATACTTTTGATTATTTGGAAGAATTTTCATATAAAGATTAAATTTATTTGGAATTTTAACTCAGATTTAAAAACACCTTTGGACCGGAATCACTGTGTGCGAATATGTTATTTTGCGTATTATGGCTTCAGTAAAGTATGTTTATAAGTATGTTTGTAAGTATGTCAAAGCAACTTTTAAGCTTCTATCCCATTCAATATTTTTTATTTATTTAAATACTCTATTTAAGTAACATAACATAACTTATCCGGCAAGACAATCTGTTTAACTCATGCTTGAACTCATGCTTGGTGATATTGAACGTTAAGTTTCACATTATGTCCTTATTACTAAATTGTCCGTAGGTTAGAATGTATAAAACTGCTAAAAATTATTTTTGGTTATTATAAGTTATGATGAATTATCAACTGAACAAAATGTAGAAATGAAGTATCATAAATTGTTAAAATGAGAAATATCTAAGCAAACAAATATAGAAATTGCTTTTTTAAACAGAAATATTGCATTACGCATTCCTTGAAAAGCTACTCTTTGTCCATAAGTGATAAAAAAAAATATTGAAAAAAACTGTCTTTCATTTCATTATTGCTAAAAATGCTTTAAGTTATTAAATAGAATCATTATCATCACTTAAATATATGTAACTTTAATTACACTAAAATAAGTAAAACTTAATTATGGCTTTTTTAAGAATTGTTTTCAATTAGTGATTACTATGAAAATTAGCCAATGGTGCATAAACGCACCATTTTAATAAGTAATTTTTTATTAACACCGTGGCGAATATTCTTCTATAATTTTATTTTTCTGTTCTTTAGAAGGGTTCTGAAAACTTCCATAAAATATTTGTAATTCAATTGGAGTAAATAATTTCTGTTGGGAAATTTTTAAAACACGCTAATTTTTGAACTTCAAATGGTTATTGAAAAAGTCCATTTTTTTAAAGCGTATAATTATTCCACTTGCAATTTATTATATGTTTTTTTAATGGGTTAAAATTGTAAGTTATGTAAATAAAATTGAAATAAAGCAAATATCAC